CACTGAAAACCGCCTTTGGCGAGTTGGATTCCCTCACTAAATATTATTATTATTATTATTATTATTATTACATTATTATAATATTTAGCTAATTGTATTCCTACGGGTCCCCTGAGCCGGAGCTTGTAAACAAGTCTCTAATAAACAAACAGCTAAGTGGTAGTCATTTTCAGAGTCACAACTTGGAGAAATAACCATTATTTTACTTCGCTGAAAGTAAACCAATTTGACCTAAAAATAAGTTACATTATCATTGGATGCATTTTTCTCTACCTTTTCATTGGCCGAGAGCCCACGACGTGACTTGCAAAAAGTGGTCTGCTCATGCGCAATACCATCTAAATGTGTTATGCTGCAAATAATATTCTGCTCATGCGTAAATGTATATACGCTCTGGTGTGAAAAGCGGTAGATTGCTTCCCCGAGCTGTCAGGGAGTGATTTAAATATGAAAACAAAACTTGGTGATAGAATGACTAGACAATTATTGAACTCGGTTATCACAAAAAACCGTGATTTATCCCAATGTCCTGTAGATCAATTATTTGCCACTGACAAATCACGATATTTTCCCCAACCTCGTCCAATAATTATTTTCACTTTCCACGGACACTTTGCCCCTTTCCACGTTGGTCTCGTCTTTCAGACTAACGGAATGAAAAACTGAGATCATTGCAATTACACAGCGCTGTTGACGGTCCACAGTAACACAGAGTATCAGAACAATAGAGACAAACTTTTTCATTACACAATGTCTTTCCTTCTTTTTCTATTTTCAGTGACAGCACGCAGCTCCCCACAATAAAGTAGAAAATACCATTAAATGGGAAGAAAATTTTGGGGATGAAAGCTCTCTTAGTTAGTAGTGACTACAGCGTGGAGAAGCCATTTATTGCACCAAAGATGTAGTTTTGAAATAAATTGTGGGGAAATAATGTTTTGTTGTACGTGTTCTGTTTATTCTCTTCAGTCCTCTCAAGAAAAATGCTAGTTTCATGGGATAGCAATAATCCCTGGGCTTACTTTTAGTTGAATTTATTTCCTGGGAGTTGATGGAGCTGGGGGAGACCGGATATTTACCTTCGGTGTTCTATGCCTATGTCTTCTTGCCAGTAAAATGT